CCAGGGGTGGTGCCTCACCCGCTCCCTGGGCAGCCCATTCCAAGGCTTGATAACCCTTTCAGTGTAGACATTTCTCCAAATATCCAAGCAAAACCTCCCCTGGCACAACTTGAGGCTGTTTCCTCTTGTCCTGTTGCCTGTGACTTGGGAGAAGAGACCGATTCCCACGTCTCTACACCCTCCTTTCAGGGAGTTGTAGAAAGCATCTACAACATCTCTTCTTATTCTACAACTTTTCTTCCATCTTGGCATCCAAGTACAGGAAGATACTTGTTGATCAAGATGCGTGTGTTGAAATTGGAGAGTCTGTAGTTGTATCCGAGTACATGCTGCATTTTGATCATGCAGGAAATTAACTCACTTCATCAGTGCAAATTTCATCAAGTTGTGTTTTTCCCAATATACCTAAGCCAGGCACTTTTATCAGTGTAAATCCTAGTAATGGTTTTTATATAAATAAAATTTTGGCAACGTTGTTTGTCATTGTATCAGTAAAACAGTGGAAGAAAACCCAAGCGATACTTAGGCAGTACATCGTATCAAGCAGATTACAACAAACCCTACCAAAATACCTAAATGTTTTTTGCAGCAGAGAAATAAGACATTTCCTTTCACCTATGAAAAATAAGTATTTTCTTCTTTGGTTGTATTATACAGAGCTTGGGTCTGTTCTTCTGTGTTAGAACTGGCTGCCAGATTGTTGCCTTTCAGGTATCTCATTTCTGCTCTAGAATCATAGAATGGTTTGGGTTGGAAGGGACCATAAAGATCATTGAGTTCCAACCCCCTGCCATGGGCAGGGACACCTCCCACCAGACCAGGTTGCTCAAAGCCTCATCCAGCCTGGTCTTGAACCCCTCCAGGGTTTCTCTGGGCAACCTGTTCCAGTGCCTCACCACCCTCACAGGAAGGAATTTCTTCCTAATATCTCATCTAAATGTCCCCTTTTTCAAATTAAAACCATCACCCCTTGTCCTATGGCTCCACTCCCTGATCAAGAGTCCCTCCCCATCTCTCCTGTAGGCTCCCTTCAGATACTGGAAGGGGCTCTAAGATCTCCCCAGAGCCGCCTTTTCTCCAGTCTGAACAACCCTAGCTTTTCCAGCCTGTCCTCACAGCAGAGGTACTCCAGCCCTCTGATCATCTTCGTGGCCCTCTGCTGGACCCGTTCCAACAGGTCCATGTCCTGTTGGACCTGGATTTGAAAATCAAAGAGCAGGCCAGGATGCAATGATTCCTTAACAGTGATGGTTTCTGTGGCTCTGTAGGAATCTCTCCATCGTAATCCAGAAGTAAATAGAAGGGAAAGTGGAAATGGGAGGAGTCCTTGGTAATTGTATCCTGAAATGACAAGAGTGAGGACAGAGTTGCCCTGATAAATTTAAGATTAGTATAGGAATATATTTGCTGCAGCAGGGCTAGGAATAGTGAAATAGAGAACAAGTCCTATGAGGAGAGGCTGAGGGAACTGGGCATGTTTAGTTTGGAGAAGAGGAGGCTGAGGGGGGCCCTCTACAACTGCCTGAAAGGAGGCTGTAGAGAGGTGGGTGTTGGCCTCTTCTCCCAAGGGAACAATGACAGGAGCAGAGGAAATGGTCTGAAGTTGGGGCAGGGGAGGTTTAGATTAGATATTGGGAAGAATGGCTTTCCTGAGAGGGTGGTCAGGCACTGGAACAGCCTGCCCAGGGAGGTGGTGGAGTCACCATCCCTGGAGGTATTTAAGAAACGTGTAGACGTGGCTCTTCAGGGCATGGTCTAGTGCCTAAGTTTGTTGGTTTGGGGTGGGTGTGATGTGGTGGGGTGTTGTCTTTTTTGTTTTGTTGGTTTTTTATTTTGATTTTTTGGTTGAGTTTTTTTTTGTTGTTGTTTTGTTTGAAGTTGGACTCGATGATCTCAGAGGTCCCTTCCAACCACGGTGATTGCTATGATTCTGTGAAATCGAGCTTGGCTGAATAAATGGCCACGAGGAGGTGAAGGTAACTCATGGAGATCGATGCACTAACGTAGTCCTTGGAGAAAGTTTTCCCCAAAGTGCTGCCCTGCTTCCCCTTCAGCTGCCACCCCGCTGCATACAAAAGAATCACTGTTGGTTTTTTTTGTTCTGCAGCTGGGAAACAGGCTCTGTTGGGAACAGCAGCACACAAGAATGTCCTCTGTTGTATCTTTTGGGCTGACAGGGAAAATAGGAAATCATCTGTGTGGATTGAACTCCTTTTTCCCCTCTGATGCCATATGCCGTATCAATTTCCAGAATTTCCAGGAAGCCACACAAAAGAAAGGGTTTTTGGTTTAAGTGTCGTGCCTTCATTAACGAGCCAAGAGCTTCTGACTTTTAATTCTCTGCTGTTCATACAGCTGTAATTTAATATTCTCCTGTTGTGTCAGTTCTTGCTCTGTTTACAGTGGCAAGGCAATGAACCCACTTTTTAGTAAATTTGGTTTTGTTGATTCAACATCTCTCAAGGAGTTGTATTTGAGAGGGGGTTGTGCATATCTAAAAAAGATTATTGAAGTGTGCGTACTCGCCCCACAGGCAAACACTCTGTGGACCTTGACATTAAAATTGGTCATATTTAACCCAGAGGACAAAGTTGAACATTTACAAAAACTTCTAAGGAACAGCAAGGCACAATCTGTCCCGTTTGACCCACGTTACTTTATTTAAAATTCATACAGGAGGGGTACGAAACCACAGCCTTGCAGCAGAAAAAAATTAAACTCAGCTTGACATCCATCAGTCCAAAGTGGACCTAGGACTTTCCATCAAAGCCGATTGAGAAGGAATCCTTCATAAAATACTCCTCGAGGCTATTTTGTGAGCTGCCCAAGAACTCCTGTGAAAATCTCTCTCTGTTTCCCTGCCTTTAGCAACGATCCTTTGCCGGCTTTTACCCTTGCGCTGAACGGAATTTGCTTTTGTCATTTGACATGAGAGCTATGAAACCCACCACGTCTTATGGTTTGTGCGTACGATCACCTTCCTTTGAGGAGTCTCTTTGCTATTGCAGTCGAAAAACAAAATATAAAAGCCTTCCTTGTCTGTAATGGCAAGGTGACTTAAAGTAAGAGCAGAGATGCCGACGGTATCAGTGTCTGTGTTATTGGCCGTTCCTCCTTTCAATTAGGGAAAATGGAAAGATTTCCTTAAAATTCTACGTTGTGAATTCATCTAGAGCAACTTTTCCAGCAAGCTGTGCGGCACAGCAAATTCCCTTTTCTGTGGTATGACCTGTAAGGCAAAGGATAGGATTGTGGAGTTTGCAACTTGCGTGTGATGGACCTAAAGCATACCCTGCTGTTAGTCTAGGAGGAGGAGATGCTATAGCAGCTGCTCCTGCTGTTGCTGAAAAACCTGCAGCAACATGTGTGTGGTAGGGTCATGGTATCGTTATAAAGCTTGTTGGTGCCTAATTGTGAGCGTTGAGTGCATTTCATTACAGGAAGGTGGATATGCCCAGCGGTCGCAGCTGCAGCGGGGAGTATTTGGTCCACAGTTTTTTGTTTGAAGTTTGAAGACAGGCTGGAGAGCTGGGCAGAGAAGAACCTAATGAGGTTCAACAAGGGCAAATGTAGAGTCCTGCACCTGGGGATGAAGAACCCCAGGCACCAATATAGGTTAGGGGTGGACCTGCTGGAAAACACTCCTGAGAAGGATCTGGGGGTCCCTGTAGATAATAAATTATCCGAGAAGGGTCTGGGGGTCCCTGTAGATAATAAATTATCCATGAGCCAGCAATCTGCCCTTGTCACCAAGAGGGCTAATGGAATTCAGGGCTGTGTGGGGAAGAGCATGGCCAGGAGGTTGAGGGAGGTCATTCTCCCGCTCTACTCTGTACTGGTGAGGCCACAACTGGAATAGTGTGTCCAGTTCTGGGCTCCCCAGTTCAAGAGAGACAGGGAGCTACTGGAGAGAGTCCAGCGTAGGGCAACTAAGATGACTAAGAGATCCTTAATCCTTGTGAGGAAAGGCTGAGAGAGTTGGGGCTCTTTAGTCTGGAGAAGAGAAGGCTGAGGGGAGACCTTATTAATGCTTCCAAGTTTATCAAGGGTGGGTTGAGGGAGGATGGAGCGAGATTCTTCTCAGTGGTTCCCAGTGACAGGACGAGGGGCAACGGGCACAAGTTGGAACGTAAGAGGTTCCACTCAAATATGAGGAAGAACTTCTTTCTGGTGAGGGTGCCAGAGCCCTGGAACAGGCTGCCCAGGGAGGGTGTGGAGTCCCCTTCTCTGGAGATCTTCAAGGCCCGCCTGGTTGCAGACCTGAGTGATGTGCTATAGGCAGTCCTGCTTCAGGAGGGGAGCTGGACTTGGATGATCTCTAGAGGTCCCTTCCAACTCTAACAATTCCATGATTTCTTATCTGAACAGAGGTGAACTGTGAGAAATTATGGAACATCTTCTGTTTGATTATTATGTGGGGTACTTGCTGAGAATATTAAATGTCAGTGTCATTGGATACTCCCTCTCCCTTCTCTCTCCCTCCCCACAGAAAGCTTTTAGCGCTTTGCTTGTAAAAGCAAAGACCTTGAGTGACGAGAAGTCAGCTATCTTTTTTGGCTACAGTTACCATTGTCAAATTAGTAGGAAACAGTTCGCTTTATGTGTAACCTTAAGCGTGTATGTTTCTTATTTCATAACATAAAATACACAGTTTACTTTATTTTTAGTACTTGCTTGATGCTTACTTATTGATTGATTGTTTTATTAATCATTTTTTCATTAGGTTAGCCTACACAACCCAGAAATTAAGCTGGAATCACTAAAAGAAGATATTAGTTGCTTTGCTTGTAAAAGGAAAGACCTTGAGTGAGGAGAAGTCAGCTAACTTTTTTGGCTACAATTACCATTGTCAAGTTAGTAGGAAACAGTTCGCTTTGTGTGTAACCTTAAGCATGCATGTTTCTTATTTCATAACATAAAATACACAATTTACTTTATTTTTAGGGCTTGCTTGATGCTTACTTATTGATTGATTGTTTTATTAATCATTTTTTCATTAGGTTAGCCTACACAACCCAGAAATTAAGCTGGAATCACTAAAAGAAGATATTAGGGATTTTCTGAAGACATCAGGTTTGTAATACTTCATTGATCAATTTGTGAATAGTATATATCTACAAAAGAAAGTATGTGACATGATGAAAATCGTGGTTTGTACAGGGGGGTACCTTGTCACTGAGAGTAGACAGAAGCAAATATTCAGTGGTTATTAAAAAAGAGAGAATATTAAAAGGGAAGAAGTTTTTTTGATTCCATCAGCATTTTGTGAAACATACTATGCTAAGAATATATATAACATAAGAATATACTATGAAGTGATTTTATCATTTTATAAGATACTGGTAAGTTTTTTGAAAGTTCCCCATAAAACAGGAGTTCAGTTACTCCTGAAAATGGGAATTAACATTCATGGAGGTACTCTTGAAAATTTTACCCCTAGTTAAATTTCTGGTTTCCGTTGGAAGTTTTAACCTATGAACCTCTGTCACGTGCAGATTTGATGATGAGTGTTACAGGTTTTATAATCACCAGGAACACTGTGTCCATTAATAATTATAGCTGTTTTGATATTATGCTGGTTTTGAAAAAAATAACATATAATTATGAAAATTTAGCAAAACTCTATTGTAATTATTTAAACAGTAGGTGGAAATAAAGGGTATTCAACCTTTATGCAGACCTCAACTTGGAGTTTTTCCTGTCTTAATTAGGTTAAGGTTTCTTCGTCTCTTCCTTGTAGGTAGACATGAATTGAGATAGGACAGAAAACACCAGTGACTCAAAAACGACTTCTGATTCCTGTTCCCTTAGCATTAATTCCTAAAATTATCTTTTGGTTATTTTTTATTTTAACAGGTTGGGAAAAGAAGCTTCAGAATGCTGTTTATAGTGAACTCAACGTGTAAGTTATTTAGTATTTTAATTTATTGAGTTCTACTTGCATGCTTTACTTTTGATTCCTTTATATATATATAGATGTATGATGAGTTACTGGTGTCTGCAGTATCTGTCATACCATGGGTGCCTGCTTCATTTCTATTTTTAAACTGCCATGATTTCTTTTTCATCCCAGTGAAAATACCGGACCCAGGTACATCTGAAAGAATGAATGAAACAAATATCACCAAATTCTGTAGTTACTTTATAATTTCTTTGTTGTTTTACTTCCAAAGTTACCAACAGTCTTAATATAATTCTTATGTAGTTCAAGTAGTTATTGTGAATGAAATTGAGTAATTTTCAGCATAATATTTGTGTCAACATAGCACATATTTGTTGTCTTAATTATTTTAAAAAAATTTTAAACTAAGGTATTAGATCTCTAGACTTAACAGATGAGTGCTCATGATGGTTGGGATATGGTCATCAACACACTGAAATTTGTGAAATTCCCTTTTTATTATTGTTTAGTACACTTCAGATTAGACTTCTGGGAAGCACAAGTTGTCTTTATGTTCCGGTGAAGTGGAAAGGTGAATTAATAACAGATCTATCTTTTGGATTAATGCTTGTGCTTTCTTTGAGTTCACTGAAATAAGCTACAAACAATGAAATTAGCCCCAGAAAATTGAGATTAACTAAGAATACCATGATTTCATGAGCATTGTGGAAAAGCCAAGAAACAGCATTGCTGAAATCACAGAATCACAGAATGGTCAGGGTTGGATTTTTAATATAAGAAGAACTCATGTTGAAATGAAGAATTTATTTCTAGAACTTCTAGAAATAAGGTTTATTTTTTGTTTTGATCAACATACGCAGTAGTTTTACTAGTGCTCTCACAAAAGAAGTTATGTTTAGATTTACAACTACAGGATTGATTAAGCCAAATAAAATCTGAACACTTAAAATATACTATTCTTTCTTTAAGGTTTCCTTCGCCCTGTCATCCTGCGGCACCGCCTGAGCACATGAAAGAACCATTAGCTTATATGAGGAAAGCCCAGGTTAGTTGTTATCAATTTTACTGTTCATATCAGATCTTTGCTTAGACTCTTTGAGGTTTATTCTGTACAACTTTATTGTACAATTTCTAGGTTTTATACCTTAGGAAAAACACAAATGTGTCATTGCATCGAAGTTAATAATAATGTTGTATGTGTGACTTTTTACATACATACAAAAAATGCTCAAGTAATTCTCCAACCATGAAAGAAGTAGGATATAGTGCCATGTAAGTGAATATTGGAGAATAGAGACAATGTGAAAGATGTCAAGGAGGAGAATTTTGTTGGGGAAAAATTGTAGCTAAAGGTCATTTCACTTAGGGTTCCAAAAATACTCTCGTGAAGAGAGACAGACAGGCAGTTTTGCAATGAAAGACAACAGGCTGCAGAGAGAGTGAGTTCTTTAGAAAGAAGAGATATATTTAGTTCTGAGAAATGTGAAAGGAAGATGAAAAGTATGGATCTAAGGAGCTTAAGGAATATTGAAGGAGAATAAGTGAAACTGACTATAAAAGATTAAATAAGGATTTTTGGTGTCAGGAAAAAATTGTTTTTGTTTCATTGGTTTTATTTTTTCACTAGTATATGCCATTTGAAATAAATAAAAAATAATAATCCATATTAAAATGTTTTTTTTAAAAAGTTTCAAGAATGTGATCTAACCAAAGCATCTGAGGTAAGGATCAAATTGTATTTAAATCAGCCGTGCCTAGAAATATATTGCAGTAGTCTTTTTCAAGGTACTCAACAAATTGTGTTACTTTTTCAATCGTATTGTTGCTTATTCCAGTAAGTCTTACCTTGCTGTCCTGCTGCTTTCAGTCTGTAGCATTTGGGGACAAAGATTGTATTAAACCATTTTCTTTTGTGGTGTGAAATGTAATGCCACGATTTACTGCCTGAAAATAATCACTCTTTATTACTTTACTATGTGAGAAACACAGAGGTGTTTCTATGTGTATGTTTGTCTAAACCAGTTTCATTGGTGGTTATTTATAAAAGTGTATATAATATTTAAGTCCCCCATTCCTCCTCCTTTCTCTTCAGTTTTTTATTCAGAACATGACGTCATATGGACATATGGAATATCCCTTGACTCAGTTGGGGTCACTGTCCCAGCTCTGTCCCCTCCCAACTTCTTGGGCACCCCCCAGCCTGCTTGCTGTGGGGTCAGCAGGAGAAACAGAGAGGACCTTGTTAGTGTGTACACACTTTTCAGCAACAGCTAAAACATCGGTGTGTTATCAGCACTGGTTTGGTCACAAATCCAAAACACAGAAGAAAATGAACTCTATCCCAGCTAAAACCAGTAGATCCTCTTTCAAATTCTTTCTGGAAATACGACTCTTCAGTAAAGACATATGAATCCTTTTCACAGAGAAATAATAAATGGTGACAGTTGTGAAATAGTAATAACTACACACTTAGGGGAATTAACATTATATTTTCTAAAACCACTGAGGTATGTGTGAGCATTTGCTTTTCAAGTGCACACATATTTATCACTGTAGGTAATGGGTCCATAAGAAAACAGTCATGATTGGATCAGTTGAATCCAAACTAGGTTTTCTTTTGTTACCCCTTTTTGAATAAAGAGCAGTAAACAATGTAACAAACTTATGAAGTCACTCTTTCCAAGATGTTAATTTTTCAAAATATTTGGAAATACCTAAAATACAAATGCACAGGTTGCTAGTACCTTTTGGGAGTGAGCTGAAAGTGGAAACCAGTTTACTTCCATTAGGTATTGCAAATCTAATTGCTGTTTTAAAGGTAGAAGACTGGTTTTGTTTTATTTGTAGGTGGATTTTTTTTTCACTTTATTTGTCTTTTAGCATCACAAAAGTTGGCAAAGAATATTTTGAAACTATCAACAAAATTTATCCTAGTAGAAAAATATTTTCCATATACTTTATATTTGATTTTTATTATGCATAGGCACTGCTAAGATGCTGTTTCCATTGTTATGAGCTTGTTGACATTTTCTTTATCCTTTTCTATCTTAATTAATTTTGCTCTAGTTTAGAATTCTGGAAAGAAGAGTAATAGTCCTGAAGACGATTCTGAAGACCATCTTTGATATCAGTTATTGGAATGACTTTGAGCCAGTAATTAAAAACTAAATTAGTATTTTTCTAGAGTAAATATTAAAATGTTCATAATTAACCCTTTTTCTTCTCAAATTGATTCCGTTTTTTCCTTCTTAGGTAGTGAACTGAAGCTTTTGTACATTGTTCACTTCACTACCTCAGAAGAAAAGCAGCTTTCTAGGAAAGGATAGAGCACTAATAGTAATTTGTAAATCATTCCTGTAGTTGTGGTATTGTCCAGTGTAGAAATTATATTTAATATTTACATGGTAATATTTAATATTAATGTTAAATATTCAAATATCTTTGGATATTACTGTGACATCCTGTATATTTTCTAATTTTGTCTGCTGGAGAGCTGTCCATGTGGTTGGGTTGAGATTTTTTTTGGAAATTTGCAATTTTTACTTGGAGAAAAATGTACCAAATGAAATCTGTGTCCAGAAGCCTTGAATTCTACCCGCAGAGTAGGTCTCTGAAAGAATCACATTTCTGTCTAGTCTTCTAGAACAAAGGATTTTAGGATTCATTATTATGGAAAAAACCTGTAACTAATCCTGGCTAATTTATACAGTTGTGACATATTTCCGTTTAGTTTATTTGTTGTCCACCCAGTTTCATTTAACTTCAATGACAGTTTATAAATGACTTTCCTACAGGACAGTAACTCTGATTTGTGATAGATGTGTTTGAAATTGTTTGCAGATTGCAGCCCTGCCTTCCTTGGTCTCAACTGTTATAGTGAAGGTTCTTGCTGTAACCATAGCAATCCCAGCAACGTGTTTCCTTAGTGTTAAATGTCTTCGTAAAATTAGAGGAATCATTTCAGATCATTTATTGTTCCTGTCAATGAAATGACTTTAAGAATTTTGCTTCTGGCTTTTATTTCAGTCACGGATGTGTCATTCTGTTTCTGCTCAGTGCAGGTGACTGTTGTCCTGAAGGACATCCTGCTTGGAGGGACTGTATAACCCTCACTTTTGTTTTGACTTGGTTGCTTTTATTTGAATGTCTTTTACCATCTTGAAGGCTGAATTATCTTGAAGGCACGGTTTATGAGTGTCCAGAGGTGATTTATTTCAAAAGTGGGGTAATGTCTGGTCTGGCAGTTGTCAGTCACACTGATGGTATTGACCTCGTTGCATTTTGGAAGAAGCTGGTTCCTGGTCTTGCAAAGCTGCCTCCTCTGTGCTTCTTCTGTAGCTTTTATATCTTGGAGCATATCCCTTGTCCATACTTTTTTTTTTTTTTTTTTTTCCAGCCTCCACCTCCTCCCCCCCCTAATTTTGAGCTTGATGATTTCACTTTGTTTTTTAAACTCATAGAATCATAGAATGGTTAGAGTTGGAAGGGACCTTCAAGATCATCCAGTTCCAACCCCCCTGCCATGGGCAGGGACACCTCCCACCAGACCAGGTTGCTCAAAGCCCCATCCAGCCTGGCCTTGAACACCTCCAGGGATACAGCTTTCTCTGGGCAACCTCTTCCAGTGTCTCACCATCCTCATAATGAAAAATTTCTTCCTAATATCTCATCTAAATCTTGCCTCTTTCACTTTAAAACCATTACTCTTCTTCCTATGGCTCCACTCCCTGATCAAGTTATTCTTCTTCCTATGGCTCCACTCCCTGATCAAGAGTCCCTCCCCATCTCTCCTGTAGCCCCTTTAGGGACTGGAAGGGGCTCTAAGGTCTCCCCGGAGCCTTCTCTTCTCCCGGCTGAACAACCCCAACTCTCTCAGCCTGTCCTCGTAGGAGAGGTGCTCCAACCCTCTGATCATCTTCATGGCCTTCTGAGCTCTGAAACTGCTACTAACACCTCCGTTTTCCCAGTTGTTTCCACTTTCTTATTCTTCTGAGCTCTGAAACTGCTACTAACACTTCTGTTTTCCCAGTTGTTTCCACTTTCTTATTCTATCTTTGGCTTAGTCATCTCCGTGCTCTCTCAGTCCTCGTTTCTTCCAGCAACAAACCCATACTTCTCAGCAGGACAGGGTACTGTAGATGCTCTACACCACCCCTCCGTGAGAGGATAACCAGTTTGTGGCATGGTGTTGTGTAACTGCAGCATTTGGAAGGTGTTTGAGTACAATAATATAGTCAAATAAAAATATTATTTAAAATATTATAAAAAAAATGCTGCCATTTGGAAAAAGTTTCTTACAGTTGGAACTTAGATCTGGTTTGTTTATGCAAGAGAACGTGAAGGCATGACTTGATTGTGAGAAGTTGTTGCTGGTGAAAGATAGCTCTTTCATTTGATGTAAAAAGTCATAAGAGGATCTTCTAAATGGAAGGTAAAATGAAACAATTACAAACAAGATATAATGCTTATTTTTTTAACAGAACATTTGAACATCTGCCCTTCCCTTCATTTGCTTCCTGTCTAATAAACTGCAGCCTTTTTTTGGACAGAACTTCAAGTTTGAGGAACATGTGGTTAGGCAGTAACTAAGTGCTGCAGAATTTGTGTCTAGAGCAAATTACAAATAATAACTCGAGCTAAATGACATTAAGAGGAGTCTTTGCATTCATTTGTTCGAGGCCTGACTCATCATCCACAGAAAACTAAATTCAATATAAACCCCACCAGTGCTGCTGTGATCACGGAAGCAAAATCCAAAGCCAGTTGACAGGGAAGTCAGTACTAGTTGGCATTAACTTCTGAGGAATTATCTACAGATTAGGCACCATATGGGAAGTTTGAATCTGACGCAATAGTCAGAAGAATCTGGTTGCTCTTTAAGGGTTCCACTGAGGTAGTGTCTACTTCACAGAATCACAGAATCTTCTAGGTTGGAAGGGACCTTAAAGATCATCTTGTCCAACCGTCAACCTAACTGACAAAAACAGACACCCACACAACAAACAAGGAGCATCATCACTAAACCATACCTCCCAGCACCACATCAACCCGTCTTTTGAACACCTCCAGGGATGGTGCCTCAACCACCTCCCTGGGCAGCCCATTCCAATGTCTGGTAACCCTTTCAGTGAAAAAATTGTTCCTAATATCCAGCCTGAACCTCCCCTGGCGCAACTTGAGGCCATTTCCTCTCGTCCTGTTTTCCTGGTTCTTTATTTTCATGTAAATGATGAAATCTGTTTATTGTTTCCATTTAAATAACCCTCAAGGTTTTTGCAGATGTCTGCAAGTGACTCTTGCTATCCTTTCTTATACATGGCTTTTAAAAGCTGCTTGTTATTACATGATAAATGCAAATGGAGGGAAAAGAAATTCTATATAATTTAATTTTTTTTCTGTGTTTTAGGGAAGCTGGGAGAAGCGAATTCTGAAAAGCCTGAACAGCATGTGCACAGAGCTCAGTATCCCGCTGGCGCAGAAGGTAATATTAACTTCCTGTTGTCATTTTTTTGGAAATTAAACCTCGTCTTGCACACTTGTAACTTTTATGTTCATCTTACACTTGGTGAGGCTGGTATCCAAAATAATTTTAATACGGAATAATTTTAAGGGATAGCAGCAGCGTACGCATTGGCTCAACTAGGGAGAAGATGAATTCTGTAGGTAGATCTTCCTCTTTGCTGTTGCAATGCAAATTTCTAACTTTTTTTTAACTTGTGAGAACGTCTAAGATACTATTTGTGGAGAAAGACTTGCGCTCCTTTCAGGTCACGAAGTAGAGAAGGCATTCTCTGTACAGACTTGATTGCCCCACTTGTAATCATTTGAAAAATTTCCTAAGTGTTGATATGTAAGAAATCTTGATCATTAGACTTATGTCAAAAATCAGTAACGGTGAAATATATTCTTTTTGAAGATCTGAAATGTGAACAACTCATTTTCCTGGTTCTTTATTTTCATGTAAATGATGAAATCTGTTTATTGTTTCATTTTAAATAACCCTGAAGGTTTTTGCACATGTCTGCAAGTGACTCTTGCTATCCTTTCTTATACATGGCTTTTAAAAGCTGCTTGTTATTACATGATAAATGCAAATGGAGGGAAAAGAAATTCTATATAATTTAAATTTTTTTCTGTGTTTTAGGGAAGCTGGGAGAAGCGAATTCTGAAAAGCCTGAACAGCATGTGCACAGAGCTCAGTATCCCGTTTGACAAATTTCCTAAGTGTTGATATGTAAGGCAGCTTGATCATTAGACATATGTCAAAAATCAGTAATGGTGAAATATATTCTTTTTGAAGATCTGAAATGTGAACAACTCATTTTCCTGGTTCTTTATTTTCATGTAAATGATGAAATCTGTTTATTGTTTCCATTTAAATAACCCTCAAGGTTTTTGCAGATGTCTGCAAGTGACTCTTGCTATCCTTTCTTATACATGGCTTTTAAAAGCTGCTTGTTATTATATGATAAATGCAAATGGAGGGAAAAGAAATTCTATATAATTTAATTTTTTTTCTGTGTTTTAGGGAAGCTGGGAGAAGCGAATTCTGAAAAGCCTGAACAGCATGTGCACAGAGCTCAGTATCCCGCTGGCGCAGAAGGTAATATTAACTTCCTGTTGTCATTTTTTTGGAAATTAAACCTCGTCTTGCACACTTGTAACTTTTATGTTCATCTTACACTTGGTGAGGCTGGTATCCAAAATAATTTTAATACGGAATAATTTTAAGGGATAGCAGCAGCGTACGCATTGGCTCAACTAGGGAGAAGATGAATTCTGTAGGTAGATCTTCCTCTTTGCTGTTGCAATGATTATCCTCTGGAGGGAGCAGGACGTTGGAAAGCTAATTGCTATGTTCATTGCTTTTATGAATACTATATCTCTCCCATGTCTAAGGATGGGTCAATTTAAAGATTTAAGTGGAATAAGCAAAAAACTTCCTACTGTCTACTGTTCACTTACTGGGATTTACAAAACTAAGGCACTAACAGTAGCAAAATATTGGAGAATATAGAAATAATCATAGAATCATTTAAATTGGAAAAGACCTTTAAGGTCATCAAGTCCAACTGTAAACCCAACGCTGCCAAGTCCACAACTCATATGTGGTGGGTGTAGGCATGATAGCTGTGATAAAGTTATTGAAATCTTTACTATATTATTGAAATTGCTGGATTTTGTTACAGGCATGGGGAAACTACATGGTTTTTTTTTTTTTTCACCTCTTGGTTTTAACACAGCATCATTGAAATCTTATTCCAGATCTAAGTCTTTTCCGGCCTGTTTATGCACCTAAAGATTTTCTGGAGGTAAGCGTTTATGAAACAATGACTCAAGCCATTGACTTTTATCTGTTGCAGTCTTTTTATGTGAAGTGGGAAAAATAAATGTATTTCAAACAATTTGTCCTTTATAGCAAGTGAAATTTGACATGTTTTTTACGACCTCACATTTTGTTTACAAAACAAAATGCCATTGTCTCTTTTATTTTTTTTCAATGCAGTTTTAAATTGTACTTGTGATAAACTTCTCTTTCTCCCGAGAACAGTTTGGAGCTAACTTTTGTCCTCTGAGAGCAATTCTCCAGCTGATTTAATAAATAATTTTACATTTTAAATTGCAATGCGTTAAGACTGTTTGGTGGGTAAGGTAGTAGAGCTTCATGCAGTTGAAATTGTAGGTCATCTATGAAGGCTGTGAAAAATCAAATATGAAACAAAACTCTTCTGGAATTTGGAGTTGTCTGTAATCAAACCAAGCTGTTAAAAAAAATGGTAATTACTGAATCTTTAAACTTAGAAATGACAATATTACTCATCTTTTTATATGTGTGGGATTTGGAGGCTTTTTTCTGTAATCAAACCAAGTTGTTAAAAAAATGGCAATTGCTGAATCTTTAAACTGAGAAATGACAATATTACTCATCTTTTTATATGGTTGGAGCACAGAATGTTTTAGCAAAACAGAACTTGCTTTACCAGCTATGCCTGGAGTAGACATGGGTGATGGACAATAAACATTGTTGATGACAGTGAAATTAATGCTGACACGGTAGGAGATTTTGGATTAAAATGTGACTGAAAATAAGATTTATAAAAGCAGTGTCTGTACATCCTGTGAGTGAGTTATACAGGAAACATTGTCTAGAACATAACAATGGTGTAGAATTACAAAGTTAAGATTCCCTCCTAATTTGCTGGATAAAACTTAGAAGTCTAATAGTGAATTATCATTGTGTATTAGTATTTTGATGTGATTCGGTGCAAGTTTAGTGGAATGTCTTTTGTAGCGGCAGAGGAGATTTATAGTATTTCTGAATTAAGTGCAAATTGTTTCATAGTTATGCATTGTGAATGCATTTCTGAATCCAACAATAAACTTTCTATCCATTTTATTACATTTCTAAAGAACATCTCATGTTCTGTTAGTGATAATAATATTGGAAATTATTTATTTTGTTTACCATCACTGTACTAACAGCCAAATTGTCTATTTAATTTTGACTCTGTAAACAAATCCATCTTCATTTTAGTCTTATCCAGTGACCCTCGTGGTCACTCTTTTTTTCTTTTCTACTGTTTTATTTCCAGGGTTTGCAGTTTCTTAAATTAATCTTTTAATTTACAAGGCTGAGAGTGAGGTTATATGGTACTTGAATAATTACAAGGCTGAGAATTGTAGAGGTAGGATGTTATGGAATAATTTCATAAAGCTGGAAACTCATCTTAGAAAGAATCCTTGCCAGCTCAACGATATAATATCAAATCTATACCCATGGAATAACAGTATGTAAGAGACTGTAAATCCCTTTATAGATCACAGTCACTTATCTTGACATTATGATTCTTGTCCCTTAAATTTTATTCTTACTTTACATTTTCAATTCTGTAATTTACTTTTTTTTTTTCTTAAATGAAATAAGATGGTTTGGGGTATTTTTATTTAGAAAGAAATTATTTTAGTAGAAAATTATGTAGTGCATGATGGAAAGCTACATAAGATTGCCAGTCTAAGAACATGGATAAAAATTCTTACAGAAAAAAGTAATACTGAAGAACGCCTTAGATATTGTAGCCATCAGAAATATACTGTTGGCATTCAAATAACTTGGACGAGGAAGTGAATTTTAGTCAAGACATGGCTGTGAAGCCAGCACTTAGTCCCATATATCAAAAATTATTTCTGCTTTTTGATTTTAGTAATTTGAGCTTACTTTTCAAAGCACGATATGTTTGCTTCCTTAAAAAATTGTCTCCTTTTTGATTTTGAAAATGCTGAGATATAAAGCAATAATTTGGGCTGATGTATATGGTAGTTACAGGAAATGGTTTTATGCTGAAGATACAATTTGTAATACTGATGATGTTAAGAAGAGTTCTGAATATCAATCTCTGAATACATGCCAGGAATGACAGAACTACTGTTTTTAAGGTACTGATGAATCTTCGAAACCCGAATTATGAAAATGGAGAACAGCCAAGTTTCAGGAATCATCTGGGGCTAATTCAGGTGCCTCTGAAAGTTAAAGATATTCCAGAATTGGTAAGTATATTTTTTTTCTTTCAAGAAGTTTCTGTAAGAATTATTTTACCTTGCTAATGAATGAGATTCTAAACAATAAGGAAGAATTTTAAGTATGGTTAAGTTTCTCCTTTTGGAAATCAATCTAAATGCGTAGTTAAAACATAGAGTATAAAAAAGTTTTATGAAAAGACTTTTAATGAAAAGTTTTTAATGAAAAATAGAACACAAACAGTAAGCTATCTGCCAGTAGAGTTTTGATTTTACGCCACACAGGTTTTGTGCCAAATATATACTTTTCTACATGTTATTCACTTACTGTTTTCCTGTGCAAAGAAAAATATGTACTTTGTCTTAATTCTACAGTTTTATTTGATGCTGTACAAGATCAGTAGCCGACAATCAGTTTGCTTCTGATTTTCTTCTCAAAGTAATTTTAAATCCCGTTATTGTCAGATTGTAAATGAAAGGAGATGTTTGGGTACTACTGTTTTAATTAGAAAATGGGAGAGCTCTTCTTAATGCTTCACTGATAAGGCTCTTGAGGATTTTATGCGAGGAGAAAAACTTGCACCAGGGTTAGAAAAGAGCTGGGAATTAGAAATTCCTAACCTGATCTTTCCTTCACCACTTTATTACATCCGAGAGTAATTTATAGGTCCTGGTTGTCATCTCAACTATAATTAAAACTAGAGTAAGAAATATTGATGTGAGATTCTTCTCTTGAAAAACCAAAGCTCATGTTTCGTAAGTATGCATTTAAAAGAACGACATTTGTTTTAGAAAAGGTTCGCATTAAGCCTTTCAGAAGAAATCTCTAGTGATTTATGGAACTAAACATTGTTAATTACTGTTTTATGGTTTTGTTTCTTTGCAGAAAGAAGACTTCAGTGAATTGGGCTTGAATATAGGCCAGCTGGGTATTGATGATTCAGCACAAGTGCCTCCTGGTGAGCTGATGCTGTTCTTCAGTCATTTAAATAGAACACTAATGAGTAGAATACTTTGCAATTATCAAGTAATTTGTGGTTTTTTTCCATAATAAACCATAAATATTTGTTCTGTAGCTATAATTGTAGTGATTTTCTTATTAAAATATAGCTAATAATTGAACATACTGCAAATAGGAAGGGTCAGATTTGGAGAAGACTTAAAATCATCATCTTAAGTTGAAAATATAGTAATTTCAGTGTGTTTGAAGATTTCAGGATCTAGAGAACAAAATTGCTTGTCTCCAAAAATACAGAAAATATCAATAAATGATAAGCCAACTAACAGATGGGCATATATTCAGACATCTTTTAAATAACTGTCTTTAAGAAAAGATTGCAGACAAGATCCATATATTAATATTCAGTATCTTAAATAGTTTGTATTCCTTTTCCATGGGTGCATTTATTCCTGCAGAAACTGGTTTTTAAATGGTCATTCCTCGTAAAACTGGGAAACACTGTAGTATCAAGTGATTTTTCTTTTTAAATGGAAAGTTGCCTCATTGAAAGTCTAGGTGCTGTTTAGTATTTGTGTCTTTCAGACAATAAAAAATCCTGTAGTGTTATTTCTTCTTAGTTTTTGCTAAAGAACGTTGATGTTGATGCAGGTTAATTTTTAGTGATGTTGGCAGTAAATACCAGCTGAAAGTAATGGTGTGTAGTAAAAATATAAAATCCATTACTATCTGGATTATCTTATTTATTTTTTGGCATTCTTTTCTATTTATTTTCTAGAGTTCTTTGAAAATGAGCACGTACGTGTTGGACAGAAAGGTATGGGTCTGTTTTCTTCTGTAATAAACTGTGAGTCGTTAGGAATGCATTTAGTAAATGCGTAGAATTTCTATTTCAAACAGAATTTTAAGGATTTAGGCAGACTAACACGAAGCATTGTCAGTAATACCACTGTAATTTCGATCGAGACAGTCAGTAATACCGTTGTCGTTTAGACAGAGACAGAAAAGCATTTGCAGTCTACCAGTAGCTACTAGATAAATAGCTCCACAGATATTTCATTAAAAAGGAAATAGGAAGCACAGAGACATAACTTTTTGGTGATAACTTAACTTATGCCACCACTGAATTTCATTTTAAAATCAAGAAGACTCTGGACTCCCTTCTCTGTACACGCTGTTCTCATTAGTGTAATGGGATCGACGCCTGGGCATCAGAACAGAGTCTTTTCAATGGTTATTTGCAATTGCAGAACTTGGTAAATATTGCAGTATTTGGCCACTATGGAAAATTAGCTCATTTGTGTCTGTTTACTGCTTTTTCTGAAGAAGTTCCAGGTTTTTGTTGTGGGTTAAGAAATAACCTGCAAAAGAAAGGGCAGATAAAAGACATAGTAATTTATTAGCTCATGTTTGCTTATAGAAGAAACATACAAAGAATGTTTGAAATCCATTGATATCTTCTCCTTACTGGCTCTTGGGATTCCTGCTAATCATTATCACCATCAAAGGAAAAAAAAAAACAGAGTGGATACCATCCCAAAACTCCCCCATCCCTTTTATTTATTGGTTTTTTTCCTGTTGTAATAACAAGACAATGACCTTTCTTTCTGCTCCTTTGACCATCCTCTTTCTATCCCACATTGTCTGTTTTCTGATCTAAAAGCAGCTCATTAGGGTACTGTCCATCCTTCTGTTCTTTTCCTGTTCTTCCAAGTAAATTCCCCATCTGGACTTCCTGAGCTAGTCATTCAACTCCACAACGTAATTTTTACCCCTCGTCTCTTGCCTGCATTAGAGCAGTCTCTATTGCAGAGATTGTCTTAGTTTTTTCTTGATGAAAAGACATAAAATTTTGCAAAAATGTGAGTTAAGAGTCTTGACCATAAACTGAAATCTCAGTTAATTCAGTGGGAATCCTACTGCATGCTCTATTGGGAGTTGGTTATGACTTTGGTTGCCACTGATGTACTGATTTTGCTTTTATATTAGATGTATTGCCAAGTCTGAGGGATTTTCTTTATTTAGTAAAACTGATCTTATATATAGCAAAACTACTTTCTATTCTTTTGTGTCTCAGAAAAAATGAGATAAACACTCATGGATGCTGAGGTGAAACAGAGTCTTTCCTAAAGATTTGTGGGGAATGCAGGAATGTTTTTTCTTTTTGCCCTCTTCTTTCAGGAAAAAAGGATCACACACCGAGAGCTCTCCACGTTAGACAGAAAATTGGCAGACTGGTCTATTCAGTATTAAGGAATCACAGAAACATAGAATGGTTTGGGTTGGAAGGGACCTTAAAGATCATCAAGTTCCAAGCCCCCTGCCATGGCAGGGGGAAGGAGGGAGAGCTTAATTAAATAGATTTATGATTCCAAACCTCATCCCTCTAATTCACGGATATTGTGAATATCGACTTGAGTGAAACTTAGAAAAGCAAGTTGTTTCTGTGAGACTTTGGAAAAATCAGAGGATATGGATTTGGAAACTTCTGAGCACCAATGCAACACCTCTCTAATGCCTAGATAATCTCACAGAAATATTCTTCCAATTTTCTCTCTGTTGTGAAAGACATTTCAGGTCTGAGAGTATGGTTCATCACGTAACCTCAATGGGAAACAACACCTCTGCCAGATTAGGACAGCTAAAGATGCATGTCTTTCAAGTTTAGAGAATTAAGTAAGGAATGAGACAATCTCTCTAAGGTGTGGACAGTAGTGACAGAGTAACCTAAAGCTTCACAACAATGACTCATCTAAGCAAACCTGTCAACAGTAGAGTATTCGTTTTATGTCAATCCAAAGGAAAAACAAAATATTTTGAGAAAGAATGTCTTTATCCTCCGGAGTACGTATACCAGTAATAAGAGAACACGACAGTACACTCTGAACTGGAAAATCCTTGTCCCCTGATTATCTGTGAAAATATTTGTATAGTTAAAGTAAAAATAGGAGAGACACAAAAAGCCAGACTGAGTGGCAATCTCCTCTTTGAACTGAGATACCACTCGCAGTTAAGCAGGAGTGTTTTGTGGCCACATACAGCTGCTTATTCTGCTTGATGCCAGCCTGCCTGTTGCAACCAGCCTTCAGTCATCAATAATGTACATTTTGATACATACAAATTGCTGTTTTATGACCGAAGGCAGTACAGCCTTGCTTATTAATACCAACTGCCTCCTTTCCCAGGGAAGTACTTCAAAATTGCAGTGTGGAAACCACATCTTTTAGATATTTTTCCATTAGCTAATGCTTACAACATGGTAAACCAGTTTCTGAAGTTAAAAATTAAAGTTTTGGGTAATTTGATAAACCTTAGAAGCCCTAACCTGCATAAATTCATTACCTGCTTTGTTTCTTACAGTTTTAGCAGAACAAGACAGCGCTGCAGCTCAACAGTATGTTCGTCAGGGATGTCCGACAGCGCTCCGAGCTGATCTGTGGGCACTCATTCTCAACATTTCTAACCAGCCAGAGGTAAGAAGCAAAGAGAGAGTAAAATATGAAGATTAGGTGAAAAAACAGAAGTGCAAGCACATCATCTTCTAGTGATCTTTTTCCAAAATAGAAATGCTCTACTGAGTTGTCACAGAAACTGATAAATGTTTTATGGGAAATATACACATGCCTGTACAAAACTCTGTGCTGTCATGAAGTCTTTTAGGCCCTTCCCTAATTTTTGAACAGATATAAGAGCAAAATACCATAGAACAAACTATTTACTAGTGTTTCATAGAAGTAAGGCTCTAACTACTGCCAGAACGCTAACACCCTGAGATATTCTTCTTGCATATGCTGAATACACTGTTTTATTTTTTGTAAAGTGCAGCAAAACAGTTTTAATATACACGTAGCTGGTCTATGAGCTGCTGTATTTCATGGAGGCTTTATTGATTTATCTAACACTTTTTTTTTTTTCTCTACCTGTTGTGTACTGTTTCTCTGCTGGAGTTGAATTGGGTGGTTGCAGAGAGTTCTTGCTTTAATATTTCTGATTTGCAGTTTAGGCTTTGTTACATTTAGAGCTATATGAGTTTAAAATTCATAAGGACCATGGGTTTCCTTTCTTTAATGTAAAACATTATGAGGATTTGGTATGGGCAGCACTGTGTGTGTTTGCATCCAGTATTCTTGATTGGAAAACTTTATACAGTAAAGCTCAGCCTCTGTATAAAGCTAATACACAGCCAAGCTAGGGATGCTACTAGCAATCTAACATCGTAATAGTAAAAATGATAAACTGCAAGCTTTATATACAGGATTATTTAGAAATGTGTAAGCACATTGCCTGGCAATGAACTGTTTATTACTTTTCATTTGTACTGGTACATTTCAGAGAAACTGTGTTAGAAGAGCATCTTTAAGGTTGCAAAGTCAAATGTTTAAAAGCTGAACAGTGTCACAGTTAATATTGTCTGTGCAAACAGTCCAATTTGCTGTATATATATATATTTATAGTATGATTTTGAATCACATAATCACATTTTTTTTCCTGTGGGATGTCTGCCTCATAGATTGCACAAAGAGGATGGCACACACTTACTGAGAATCTGTTTAATTATATTTTTTTTTTCCTTCTGTTCGGTGTGTTACCTATTGTTTATTCACTGCATGCTGTTTAGGCAGTGCTTAGAAAACAAAATTGTTCATTATTTCATAGGGGTTTTTTTTTCCCCTCGATTTTTTTTAAGTTAGTGAGTTGAAAATAAATCTTAATTCTGAAAATTCCAGCATGCAGAAATTTGTAATGCTTCATTTTCCTATAGTTTTTACTGAGTATAATTTCCTAGGTTTAAAAACTTAATAAATAGGCGAGGTGATAAATTCGTAATGGAGCATTGTGTAACTCTGTGCCTTATCAGTAGTGGATTTTAGATTAGGATCAGTAGCCCAAGGTACTCACTGTAACATTCCAACAGCAGAGAAACCAGTACCAATAACGGACTGTCATCAAATTTGACTGGAGAGGGATGTGTGTTACAAGTAGATTTCAGAGTGGTCTAGTCAAAGGAGAAAAAGGTTTGGATCCTCTTCAGGGATTTGCCCGTAGGGACTTTCTTTAACTCTTTTTGCCATTGTCTCTTTATGTAATTTGATTAGATTTTTGTTATGTACTTGTTTCTGGCACTTCTGTTCCAAAATCTACAGTTCATCTGTGCCAGGGATTTCATGGACTGTTCCTGCCCAGAGGCTGCTGGGTAATCCAAACCTTCCTTTCCAAGAAGGTGAATCACAAAATTCTGCTTAAACGAGCTTTGCTGCCTCCTGCTGAAAGATACGGTCCTCTCTTGCCTCTTCAGCTACTCTCAGAGCTCCCTTTTCCTTATGCTCGAGTGGATACAGTATGAGGGGTTTTTTGGGGTGGAAATTTTAGTCTGTGGCTTTGTGAGGTCAAGAGGACTGGGCACTGCAGTCCTGAAATGCACTTTGTTTCCACTTGGAAAGATACAGTTGGAGGTGTGGTAGTAAAAATATATATATCTAATTTTGAGAAAAGCCACAGCCTTTTAACGCCTTTTTAAAAAAAGGAAAAAAATTACCAATCAACTTTACATTAAGATTTGGCAGACAGAGAAGAAAGATTGAATCAGATGGAAATGGTAAGATTTTGGTTTTGTAATTGAAAACATTTTAGACTGAACAATGTACCACATTTTTGGACACTCCTGAAACTTGGTAGTAGTCGGTTGTCTCATCTAGAGGAAGAAATCCAGTAAATACTTGCATACCAAATAACTGTATTCTAGGTGTGAATAAATCAGCAGCAATTAAACTTAATATCAAGTTATTCTGACTGTTAAGATGGATGGACCGTGTACTTCAGTGATTACTTTTTAATTGCGGTTTTACAATAATTTTAATAATAACAGGAAAAAAATTAGAATTGCTTTCTTGAGTTACAATAGATCAGTAGTTGAATTATCTAGAACCCTTGTAGCCATGAGTTTCATTGTACCATTTCTTACGCAGGAGTACTTTTGAGCACAGCAGAAAGAGTTAATCGTGCAGTCTGCTTAGTGTGAAAAAGAAGTTTTGGGTTTTTTATTTATTAGTTCCTTCTGTTCTAATAGATACAGTCATTTGAGAGGGCAAAAAACCTCTAGACATTAGTCATTTGGCAGTGTTACACTTAATTAGACTGCAGTATTGATGCTTTAAAATTGTGACCTAACTATCAGAGTACTTCTCTGTAGCTTGTTAGAGTAGGATGCTACAGTCATACTGCAAATAATTTACGTTTAGTAAATCACAGAATGATATAGGGTTGGAAGGACCCTCTGGAGATCATCTAGTCCAACCCCCTGCCAGAGCAGGTGCACCCAGAGCAGGTCCCACAGGAACGTGTCCAGGTGGGTTTTGAATGTCTCCAGAGAAGGAGACTCCACCCCCTCTCTGGGCAGCCTCTGCCAGGGCTCTGCCACCCTCACAGGAAAGAAGTTCCTCCTCATGTTTAGATGGAACTTCCTATGTTCAATTTTGTGCCCGTTCCCTCTTGTCCTGTCCCTGGGCACCACTGAAAAAAGACTGGCCCCATCCTCCTGACACCCACCCTTTAAGTATTTATAGGCATTGATCAGATCCCCCCTCAGCATTCTCCACACTAATAAAGATCCAAGTCCCTCAGCCTTTCCTTGTAAGAGAGATGCTCCAGGCCCATAATAATCTATTTTTATTAACTAATATTTATATCTGATCCTTTGCAAAGAAATAGTGTAGTATTTATACCTCCCTTTTTCATTTCTTAGAAAGAAAAATGTAAATATTTTCCCGGTGGTAGTTACCAGTACTTAATAAATACAGCTTCTGTCCTTATTGCAACTTAGCAGTTTAATATTATATTAATTCTAATGGTTTCTAAGTGTATACCACTTCTCAGTTTGGGATTAATACAGAGAACAGTACAGTGGTCCCTAGCTGCCTCTTCATTTATTTTTGTTTCAGTTCTCTCCCTCTCAAAATTTCATCTCACTTCCTATTTGTTCTTTAAATCTGTACTCCAGACTGAGCCTTTTTGCAAAGAAATCAGCAGTAAATATTACATAAAGCTCGGAATAAACAAGTACTTATGTGGTGTCCGTAGAGACGCACTGAAATTAAAATAGTTTGTTGGGAAGTGGGAAGGAGCTTTGGGACTGCTGCTTTAGTCTATGAATTATTTCAAATCCATCTGAAACTGTTATTCAAGTGGAGGCATAGGGGCAGAGAGGGATTTAGGGGTTTAGGAATTACATGATGATAGTGCAATATTTAATTCTTTTTTCCCTTTGCAAGCTCTTTCTAAGAAGAAAGAATAAGCAAAAGCAGAGAAGTGTTTGTGCTGATTCTTCCCCATCATTTTCCCCTTGTCTGTTCTGTAGACATTTGGGAAATAATAAGAGTTTAAGAAAAGGTCTGAGTTCTTTGTATTCTTCATGAGATTTTTTTATATATTTATCATTTCATCTTTTTACCCATTTAAAATCTTTAGAGATTCATATTAGATTAGCATCATTTGCAGCTACTCACTAATACTAGAAGATACGACAGACCCTTGTTGGGGGAGAGGTCCATGAACATAGAGGGTAACAAAGAAAAAAAAATTAATGATTTTGAGCGCTGAAAAGGTTTTAGGTGTAGAGACACCCAAAGGTTGGAAGATACAGATCTTTGGCTTGAGCTAGTTCCTTCATTCCCATTTGATCTCTTATCTAAAGGGGAGGTCATTTTATAATGTCTCTTATCTGCCTTATTTTTTAGCACTTAAACTACTATAAACTGTGATGGAATGCTTCATGAATTATGCAGTGTGTTTTTCAGCTCAGTACATGCTTATGGCTTGGGTTTTTTTAAATTGTTAAAAATTGGCTTTGTATGTTTAAATATGAATTAAAGTTGTATCTCAGACTGATGGTAATATTTTTAATTTTAGGATATCTTGTACTACGAACAGCTTAAGTCCAATGTGATTCAGCATGACCTTTTAGTGGACAGCCTGATTTACAAGGTAGGTAATTCATTAAAGAGTGATTAAGTGATTTATATACTCATCACACCACTATCTTGGGGTTTTTTTTAAGAAAGAAAATGTCGGATGGTTTGATTTTAAGGAGTGTAAGAATAATTAGTGTGAATTTATTGTTGTAAACTCTCTCCTTGTGCCTGTGTTTGCTCCCGTGTAAGACATTTGTTTGAGCCCTTAAGTCATAAAGAAACTGTAACTTCATTTGAAGGAATAACTGGTTTTGCCAGCAAGATAGCACTGGGGTCTGGCTGCTTCTGTTTCACGTTTCAGTTCCAAATACTTATCAACTTAATCATCAACTTAATATGGTATTTTTAAATTTTAAAATACGGAAAGAGCTACAGCTCTTTCACGATTCAATGGTGAAACAGTGTCTTCTATTGCTGTGTTAAGTTTAGCTTCTCTGGGACCCTGAAAAGAGATTCTTTTGCCTTCAAACTGCTGTATTTTTTGATGACAGGATGTAAAGCTGACAGCAAGCAACGATGACTACTATTTTGTGTTTGAAGATTATTTATATCAGGTACGTAACTATGTTTTTTCTTAGAAAAGCTAGGAAGTGTCCTCCTGGGGGATTATATCGTCTTTGGAGTAAGGACTGCCTTTATGTTTCATGGGTAGGCAGAGTGGGATCCTAGAGAGATGCACCTCTTTGCTCTGTTTCGTATACATTCCCTTTGGAATAACACTCCTGTACACTTAAACAGATTCAGCAGGACAGGGCTTCTAAAACTCCTGCTCTGAAAGACCCTACAAAACTGTATTTCCAGTGCAGTAAAGCCAGAAAATACAAAATCAGACATACTCTTCCCCTTTTGAGCTTTGCAATTATAAAATGACTAACAGCTGCGGCACGCAGAGAAATTAAGACTGGAGAAGCATATTCAGGGCTTTAGCTTAAAAAGAAAACAGTATTGATTTCCAGTGACCTACTGCAATGAGCATAAAAGATACTGTTTTCTCGTATTTTTAAATTGAAGACATTGCCTCTGAATAAAGTAGTGATATTTATGGTTACTCCCATATTTAGGATTGCTCCCATTCCCAAGCTGCTTCTAGCAATGGGGGAACCCAGCTAATTTCTAAAGGATTATTTTTGTTGCTGCCTGTCAAATGCCCTTAAATAGAAGGAGATTACATTTATGAATTTCCTAATGTGTAGTTGATTGCAGTGTCAACATAGATGTCATGCAGCAAACTTAGCATTTCCACAGTGCTTTCAGTTGCATTAGTCACATCTGTTAGGTTCCACTTGCTTAATTTTTTGTTTTAGAGCTGTGTGGAACTAAATGATTTCTTCTTTGATGGCAACATGTAAACTCCTAGTAATTTAACTAACCAGGAAACTGTCCTTAATGCTGCTTAGTCCATATAGATATAAAAATGTCTTACTATTTAGGCATACTGTTCAGTCCTCTCTACACATCATCTTTTAGCATAATAAGCATTTAAACATTAATAGTTGAAAATTATAACCTCATTAAATTGTAGCCTTTTTGACTTAAAAATAGTTACAATATTTACAATATTAAGATCTGTATCTGAAGTCGTTTCTGAATTAGTATTTGAAAAGTGACTACATAATGACAACTCAAACATTGGTATTTATTCACTAAAATATTTACTTGTAGATGTTTTCCTTGATTTAAGGGCAAAGATGATCTTCATTATTGTAACATTATCTTTTCATCAAGGGAATGATGAAATGCTTCATTCATTATATAGACTACTAAGGCAAATTAATTAGTCATTAACAGTTCTAGTGGACAGAGAATTATGATCTATGAAGGAATATGAGCTGCTTAAACTACTATAAACCGTGGTGGAATCTTCATGAATTATGCAGTGGGTTTTTCAGCTCACTACATGCTTATGGCTTCATTTTTTTTTAATTGTTAAATATTGGCTTTGTAAGTTTAAATATGAATTAAAGTTGTACCTCAGACTGATGATGGTAATATTTTTAATTTTAGGATATCTTGTACTACGAACAGCTTAAGTCCAATGTGATTCAGCATGACCTTTTAGTGGACAGCCTGATTTACAAGGTAGGTAATTCATTAAAGAGTGATTAAGTGATTTATATACTCATCACACCACTATCTTGGGGTTTTTTTTAAGAAAGAAAATGTCGGATGGTTTGATTTTAAGGAGTGTAAGAATAATTAGTGTGAATTTATTGTTGTAAACTCTCTCCTTGTGCCTGTGTTTGCTCCCGTGTAAGACATTTGTTTGAGCCCTTAAGTCATAAAGAAACTGTAACTTCATTTGAAGGAATAACTGGTTTTGCCAGCAAGATAGCACTGGGGTCTGGCTGCTTCTGTTTCACGTTTCAGTTCCAAATACTTATCAACTTAATCATCAACTTAATATGGTATTTTTAAATTTTAAAATACGGAAAGAGCTACAGCTCTTTCACGATTCAATGGTGAAACAGTGTCTTCTATTGCTGTGTTAAGTTTAGCTTCTCTGGGACCCTGAAAAGAGATTCTTTTGCCTTCAAACTGCTGTATTTTTTGATGACAGGATGTAAAGCTGACAGCAAGCAACGATGACTACTATTTTGTGTTTGAAGATTATTTATATCAGGTACGTAACTATGTTTTTTCTTAGAAAAGCTAGGAAGTGTCCTCCTGGGGGATTATATAATCTTTGGAGTAAGGACTGCCTTTATGTTTCATGTGTAGGCAGAGTGGGATCCTAGAGAGATGCACCTCTTTGCTCTGTTATGTATACTTTCCCTTCGGAATAACAATCCTGTACATTTAAACAGATTCAGCAGGACAGGACTTCTAAAACTCCTGCTCTGAAGGACCCTACAGAACTGTATTTCCAGTGCAGTAAAGCCAGAAAATACGAAATCAGACATATTCTTCCCCTTTTGAGCTTTGCAATTATAAAATGACTAACAGCTGCGGCACGCAGAGAAATTAAGACTGGAGAAGCATATTCAGGGCTTTAGTTTAAAAAGAAAATAGTATTGATTTCCAGTGACCTACTGCAATGAGCAGAAAAGATACTATTTTCTCATATTTTTAAATTGAAGACATTGCCTGTGAATAAAGTAGTGATATTTATGGTTACTCCCATATTTAGGATTGCTCCCATTCCCAAGCTGCTTAAATACAAAATCAGACATACTCTTCCCCTTTTGAGCTTTGCAATTATAAAATGACTAACAGCTGCGGCACGCAGAGAAATTAAGACTGGAGAAGCATATTCAGGGCTTTAGTTTAAAAAGAAAATAGTATTGATTTCCAGTGACCTACTGCAATGAGCAGAAAAGATACTATTTTCTCATATTTTTAAATTGAAGACATTGCCTGTGAATAAAGTAGTGATATTTATGGTTACTCCCATATTTAGGATTGCTCCCATTCCCAAGCTGCTTCTAGCAATGGGGCAACCCAGCTAATTTCTAAAGAATTATCTTTGTTGCTGCCTGTCAAATGCCCTTAAATAGAAGGAGATTACATTTATGAATTTCCTAATGTGTAGTTGATTGCAGTGTCAACATAGATGTCATGCAGCAAACTTAGCATTTCCACAGTGCTTTCAGTTGCATTAGTCACATCTGTTAGGTTCCACTTGCTTAATTTTTTGTTTTAGAGCTGTGTGGAACTAAATGATTTCTTCTTTGATGGCAACATGTAAACTCCTAGTAATTTAACTAACCAGGAAACTGTCCTTAATGCTGCTTAGTCCATATAGATATAAAAATGTCTTACTATTTAGGCATACTGTTCAGTCCTCTCTACACATCATCTTTTAGCATAATAAGCATTTAAACATTAATAGTTGAAAATTATAACCTCATTAAATTGTAGTCTTTTTGACTTAAAAATAGTTACAATATTAAGATCTGTATCTGAAGTCGTTTCTCCTTTTTGACTTAAAAATAGTTACAATATTTACAATATTAAGATCTGTATCTGAAGTCGTTTCTGAATTAGTATTTGAAAAGTGACTACATAATGACAACTCAAACATTGGTATTTATTCACTAAAATATTTACTTGTAGATGTTTTCCTTGATTTAAGGGCAAAGATGATCTTCATTATTGTAACATTATCTTTTCATCAAGGGAATGATGAAATGCTTCATTCATTATATAGACTACTAAGGCAAATTAATTAGTCATTAACAGTTCTAGTGGACAGAGGATTATGATCTATGAAGGAATATGAGCTCGGATACAGTATAATCTTTTAAGACCATCAGAAATAGATTTTTTTATAATTCTTAATATATAGCACAGTTTAATATTTTAATTTTTTCTCTATTAACTAAAGAATTATTAGGATGAAAATTATAAAAAGTACTAAACTATCCTCAGTAATATGAAGGAGAGTCACCAAAAATCTGAAAAATTAAATGGCTAGTTTTACTACTTCTAGGCAAACAATATTTCAAACTTCTATTATCAGCTGCTCTAGTTTTGTTTGGTATTTGTGGTGCTATTCAGACTCTTTTCTAGAAGAATGTTATCCATTTTCCTCGATTAATTTTCTCTTCCAGCCTCATTCGCAAGTTGCATTGCTGCCAAATGATTTTGTTCTGTGGCTCCTGGAAAAATTCTGCAGTATGAGTCACTCTGATATGGAATGTTATTTATTGATTTCATATTGGCTAGATAAAATAGCTAATGAAAATGTTAGTTTAAACCAGATAAATTATTTCTATGTTTGCACTGGGTTTGTGGGGGTTTTTTCGTGACTAGTTACTGCCTCTCAGATTTCCAAATCATTAACAGAGTGTGGCATTTATCTGTGTATTACTTAACAGATAAGGCATCCATCAAAATGTGAGAATTTGGGCATAAAATAACAATGAGAATATTTGGTGGGATTATTGGTACCTCTTTACTAGCCTCCAATCGTTTCTGGGAAGAACACGGTGAAATTATGTGATTTATTTCCTTTTCTATCTTTGCTTTCTTTATCCCAAAGTTTTCCATGTTTTTATTACGTCTTTATAACTATTGAAATAGAATACAGTTACCTTTTATCAAAAAGAAATTACTATATTAAATCTTTGGCTTTGTTTTTTTAATTTTTCCTCAGCCCTTTGAATTCAGTGGTTTTCTTTTTGGTTTTGATTAGAAATATCCAATAGTTTGCCAAAGGTTTCTGTACTTAAAAAGGGCTTTGTGTCATTTTTTTCTTTAGCGTTATCATTTTTTGTGAATGAGAAAAATAATACGTGAATTAATAAATTTGTAAATTTGATATTTCAGGCCAGAGGTTCAATTTGATTTTGTTTGTCTTACATTTGGCATAATAAATACATGCAAAGAACCTCACACAGCAGCTTTTAGGTATAGTCCTAACTCGTGTTTGAGCTAGAGTCTATCTCTTACAAAGATGCATAGTGTTAATTTAAAGACTTCCAGATACTGGTACTGGACACTGTATTCCCAAAAAAGAGGACCTCAAATTAAGGTTACATTCTTTCCCCTATGAGAGAACATAATTTATGTCCTTTTTAGATCAGTTTCTCTTTCTTTCCCCTCAGTTAACATATACAGAGAATTACATTTGCCTGTGTATTGTTATTGTCAGCTGTATTTTGGCAGCTGGGAAAATGATTGTGTATTATGCAAAAATAATATTTAGCTTAAACTGTTGGAGATAAAGAAACTATTTATTTTTTTAAAAGATGGTTGTGTTTGAGAAATAGCTTTGAGGTTCAAAAGAGGAAAAAGTCTCAAAATATGGCCTGCTTTCCATAAAAAAATAATTTTTTTAAAAAAGCAATAACGTTCAGATGTCACAGCCTTTCGGTTTTGTCTGTTTCTTTGTGACAAATGCTGATATCTGGAAAACGTTTGCAGTAATTAGTTGAAGGAAGAAATCCATTCATTAGTATTCACGATGGATTATGTGGTGAAACAGATTATGTGGTGAAACACCACCTAAGACATTTCCAGCTTTTACACCTTGGCTACAGTTAAACCAAACAAACTCTTAAAACCTGCAAGAGCAAAGGATTTAGGGGATGCAAAAAAAGTCAGTTGGGAGTGGAAACCTGTCTTACTTCTGCCCTCGTGTGTGCATTCTCCATAGCACAGCCTTTCATTGCAGGAAAACAGGAAAAATTTGAAGTATAACAATATTTATTACATTTTTTTACAACTGCACGTAGGATGAGATTCTTCACTGTTGATTTTTTTCGAGGAATAGTGGATTTTTCATTGATGTAAACGATAAAAAATACAAATATATTTTACAAAATAGAGTGCACATTTCAGAATATATGGGTAGGAGGTGAACAACATAATCTGTGGTTTTTGAAAGGCTGGAATATCGTGGAATCATTCTGTAAAGCTGCTGGGAATGAAAATGAATGTAAGGAGCAGTCTTCTGGAAATCCACACGTGAAAATGCAAATGTTTAATTCCCTTATTCACTTACTCAGACTTTCTGGGGTCATAGTAACTGAATGGAAAAATAATCTGGTTTGGTGAAAGCAGCCAGTTTCATGCACAGTCACTACTGATGGGACAGAAGGGGACAAACCCCTGCCCAGAGGCAACGAGGAGGGTTGGAGAACAGGGATGTTTTACTGACAGCAAACAAATGCCAAGGGAAAATCACAGCGAGTCCAAAGCCAGCCTGGAAGCTTGAACAGGAAAATAAATGAAGTCAGTCAAGGGCTTTCAACCTTATTAGTTCTCTTCAAGAGCATCTAATAGGTGCTAATTAAGGCAGGTCCTTTAATCCGTTTGACATTGCTTTGTGGATCCAGCAAGTTGCCTGATTTTTATCTGCTGTCTTTTCTACAGGTATTACTCTGTTTTTCCCGAGATACATCTGTATTGGAGCACTTTGCTTACAGCAGTGCCACCCCTCCCAAATCCTATATACGAGGTAAAAGAAGGTGTTTTTTTAAAAAAAATTTGCACTGTTTTTTGTTGACAGCTGCAGTAATACAGTATGTGAATTTGTTTTATGTTCATTTCTTTATGTTCATTTCTTTATGTTCATTTCTTTATGTTCATTTCTTTATGTTCATTTCTTTATGCTTATTCTACACTATACCTAATAGACATTAATAAAAACTTCATGTATCCAGTTGACATCTGCACAATTTCTATATGACAGTTAAGAAGCTGGTCACACGAAGGCCAGATTGCAATGTTGTTCTTTTACTGTAGTTTTCCGTGTATAATTCTCCAGTGTTTTACTGAAATAAATTGAGCACACAATATGGTAAAATCTTGACAACATCTGTTGTCATCAGAGCTGGAAATTTAAATACACGATGTTGTCCTCTGCAACTTCAACAGATTTAGCAACTGGGAGTGGTGATGGGATGTTGTTTTCCCAAAGAAGTGGGTTTTGCAGATACTTGTAGACAGGAGTAGAACGTGTTGCTGAGGGATTGAAGGCTCTGTTTGAAAGTCTGGAGAGAGTAGAGCTCTACCAAGCAGACTTATACCAATTCTTTCCAAAACATGCTATCTTCCAGAGTGTTAACTTACTTTAGGATGTTCTTTGGCTTAACTTCTCATGTCTTATTTTTCGTAACAATCTTAAACGTATTGGGTCGATCTGCTTGCCTTCTCTGCCAACTTCTAGTGTCATACCTCTGGACTCTATATCTTTGCTTCTTAGATCCTCACCTGCCTTGGTTTTACCCAGAGGTTCCTAATTTTGTCTTCCTTCTTGAAGGCAATAATTTATTTTTTTTTCCATATACTTTACCTTCCTTGGTCCCTCGTGCCAAACAGGATCCCCATACCAAGTACAGGACCTCTGCTGACAGTTTTCCTCTTGCTGCTTCTTATATCTCTAGAAACAATGTTTCCTGATTATTTTCTTCCTCCTTTATTGCTTTGTAGGTCTTTTCTCTCTCCTTAACCAACTTGGGGAGTCTTCTTTACTTGCAAAGGGCTCACCTGAGAGCAGAACAGCAGCGAGATCCCGGCTCTCGCTTCGGGCACAGCCCAGAAACCCAGCTATGGGGAACATCCTACTTATTCCTAGGCAAATCCAGGGAATGAAGTTGCTGAAATCTAAATCTCCGCTAAACCTGCGCGGTGTAAATCCGAAAGGCTTGTAGGTCCTATTTTTGGCTAATTTTCCGAGAGATGTGCTTTATGCTAAAAATACTCTCCTTCCAGATGACAAGTCCCGGCCGCGGAGCAAGAAAACTATTGCAAGGAAAAGTGAAAAATACTTTTTCGTTTAATGAACAACTAATTTCTGTAACTGGAAAATACTGGATTTTATTTTCATGGAGTAGTAGGCAAGAGCTTGGCAGGGTAATTTTGAATTTAATTCAGTTGATTCAAGTTACAGGAAAATATCTTAAGACCGGATTCCGTTGAACCTGACACAAGTTCCCTGTGCTAAATTCTTCTGTGTAGAGTGAACAAAATACAGAGATCTAAAAGATCTCTGAATATGCTATAAATTGTCATATAAGTAAATACATTTCTTAGTTGTATTTTCTCATTTTAAAACTAAGATAATTACAGTTCTTAATTGGTTGCGATTATGAATAAAAAATATTTCTCAATAAATTGTTAATTTTTTAATAGTGGATTTTGAATTATTAGGTTATGTTGTTAAAATACAATTAACTAATATAATTTGTGCATTGTGCAGGGAAGAGAAAAAGTTACATGGTCAGTCTGTACTATCAGTGATTATCTTGACTTAATTAATCTTTTGTATTCAACAGATTACTTAAATATTTTTATGTTCTATCAAAGCTATCCCATCCATCTTCCTCTCTGTTCCAGGCTTAATCCTTCAATATTTTTCAGTCTGTTCTTATATCTTTTTTTAATGCTTTTCCTGTCCCTGGGTGAGTCTGCCAGGGCATGGCAGGCTTATCCCCTTAACCTTATCCCCTCGTTGAGCTTCCCTGGCTTCAAGTTCTGCAACAAACACCCTTAGAGCTCCAAAGACCCACCCCAATTAAATCTCCGTGGGACACCATTGCTGAAATCTTCCTCCTCTTTTTTTT